TTTGCTCAGGAAGTGAAGTTTTTCTTTACCGCTCTTAAACACAACCACAAAAGCCGCCTGGAGGTCAGTTTTTATGCATTTTCCATTAATTAATTCTTGAATTGAACAGCAGGTGTCCAAAACTTGCTGTTAAATCGAAAACAATGTATGAATTAATTTAAAATAGAATTTTCTCCTTTTCTTTTCCATTCATTAATTGTTCCGGTGACGAGCCTTTTTGATTCAACTGAGCAAAAGAACTTTGCTCATTATGTGGAGCTTTTTTCAACCCCAGAGATTTTGTTTATTTTAGCTTTACAGATAACACTTCAGGAAGTGGAATAGAACTATAATCCAGATGCAGATTATTTCTATTTTAAAAACACTGTACAGTACAATACTCTGTGTTTTATTTTCCTGTCTGTTTTTTTATACACTTTTTGAAGGTGCACATTGTGTGACCACTTGTACTTTACCCTGTTATTGCTGTAAACACCACAATTTTCCTATTTTGAGACAAAACGGGGATTTTCCATAATACTCTATTCAATTCTATAATGGTTTAATAAAACTAGAGTGTATTATATGTAAATATATTGAGGGCAAAAACATCCAAATGACTAATAAACAGATGTAAAAACATCCACTATCAAGTGGAGTGAAGCTAAGCAGAGGAAATCAAGCTAAAGGCAAAAAGGACAATCACAGAACAGCTTTTAATGGAAAACATGGGCTGATAGCATAATCTAGTGGTCACCTCTGGTACTGCAGGACCAGTTCATTTATTATTATAAACATTATTAACCTACCGTATATCAAATTCTGCGACCTTCCTGATTCCAAATAGTCATGTTTGACTTCAGCCCAGCTAAACACAGCATAACTTTAAAAACAAAGGCTGCAGATTTTCTATAACTATCTGATAAAGGGAATTTGTTTTTATTTTTAAAGAACCACCATTTAATGTTCTTAGTGAAACAACTTCAGAAAAGCATTTGCTTTTAGAGCAATGGATCCAAATCTCTAATAATCAAAGACCTAAAAGCCATGGTTCTAAAAAACATCCTCACAGTGAGATGTCCCCATCATAAATAAGTGTTTGCTCTGAGATGATGGGATCCAGTGGTGCTCTGATCACTGATGCTTTTAATTCACTAGCAGTGATGTGTGTCTGCATGTGAAGATCAAAGGTTATAATTGATGTTATTATTAGTTATTTTATTTAGAAAACCTGGAACCGGCCTTGATATAATTTATCGAGCTCCGATGAAACAAGACCAAGACTCGGAATAAACAGGTCGAGACCCACTAGCCTTGATTCTCACTCACGGCATCAAACTGTAGAAAGAAGTCGTCTGGTTTGTCTTCAACTCTGTCTGGGTCAGCGTGAACTTCCACCATGGGGTTGAGGTTCTGAGCTCGCTCCAGAGAGGCCTGAGCCCGATTCTGACCTTTAGCTGACACTGGAACCAGGAATTGGGCTCGACAGGACTCCTCTGAGACCTGGAAGGTACAAAACCATGCAGAAATTATATTAGCATATTTCTCTCATGTGTCTACCACCTTTATAGGTCAATTCAGACTAAAACGTTTTAGTGGAGTTTTGTGAATCTGGATGTAAACTGTTTCTTTTAGTGATACAAACTTTGGCTAATGATGACTTTGCTACTATGGCCATCTAGTGGACAGAAATGATACTGCAGGTTATGAACAATAAACGAAATCTAACCTGTGGGTTTGCATGAGGACAATTGACTTACCAGCTCATGATCCAGTAAAGTGAGTCCTTTCACTCCAGCAAGGATCAGATTTTTAGCCAGTTCAGCTCCAAGACCTCCGACACCTGCCAGTAGCACCCGGGATCCTCGCAGCCTTTTACATTGAAAAATACAAATACAATACATTAAATGCTTTAGCAGAGAGTTTAAATATACAGTCACTGTATTTTATGACAACAAACCAAACATATCATCTTTGGGTTCTGTTTTTTTTTTTGTTCTTTTTTATTCTTCACTACAACTCTAGAGGAAATCAATGTTTATCTAATGTCACCCACATGGAGATGATAAAATACAATGAGATTTTAAAATATCTTATGACATAAAATCATTACAAAATGTAAAAAAGTTAAATCAAAACGTGTTAACTAAGAAAGAATTGGAAAATAAATGCAACACTACAATGGCAATAAATCGTGCAATTTATAATGTGCAATTACTATTTAATACCCTGTGCAATAACCAATGTCTCTATATTTGACACCCAATGTAATAACTTTATATATATATATATATATATATACACATACCCATGTGTACACTGTGCAATAACCCTGTATAATAATCATGCTATAACAAAAACAGCTGTCATATGTGGACGCACAGTATAAACAGTATATATATCCCATGCACACCTTCTTCTCCTATGACTATTTGAGTTGATGTAACAAGTAAATTCTCTACTGTGAGATCAATAAAGACAATCAATCAATCAAGGCAACAAAGAAAAACCCACTTTATAAAGGTGAACATAACAACGAAGAAGAGTGAAATCAAAGAAATGATATGGAAATAAAAATGGATATAAATCCAGTTATACATTCATTGAAGTGCGATTCAGTCGACTCATTAAAATGCTCCATCATAGGCAAGCTGTATTAAGTGCAACCTGACTAGTTTTCCAGCTGTTTCTTGTAAAGATCAAATAAAATCAAACTTATTTTGAATCTATCGATTGAAATCTAATCAATAACGCAACTCGATTAGAATTTAAACCCTGGCATTAGTCTCATTAGTCTGGATCCGGAGCAGAAAGAAGAGAACTAGCTAAACCATCCGCTGCTTTGATTAGCCAAAGAAGCTAACTGAGCTAGCTCACCTTTTCTGGGCATCCAGCCCCCACAACCGGATCTGGCGGTCATACTGCGCCGCTTCCTCCTCACTGATAATCGGGTCCTCTTTTTCGATCATATCAGCAATTCGGGGTGCCTAAAAAAGCTTTGATAAAGTTGCAATGTGTTCTGCTTTCTGTAGCAACACGGCCAAACGGTTCAAAAGGCTGCGGTAGTCCCGCTGAATGGACGCTGAATTGTGACGTCAGCAGAAAGAAACAATAGTACTCTTCTTCTTTTTTCCCCCCATGTTTGGTAAATAACCTGAAAGAGCATCAGCGCCACCCTCCAAACTTAAACAATAGTATTTTATATTTATACTTCATTTATTTCTATTTTCTTCCTTGATGGGAACGTTTTTAAAAACCTTAATTTATAATCAGTGGATTTAAATAACTTCTTTGAAGTTATTATAAGCTTAAGGTTTGATTTTCGTGATGATGGCTGTTTTGTGAATAAATCGGTGATCTGCTTTAATATTTAATTGATACTGTTAATTAAAATACAGATTATCAGTGTAATGATTTACCACTGTTCGTGGGTAAAGCCAGATCGCCTTTTATGATTCTTAGATACTGATTCTTTTTCGGGACTGATAGGGATATCTTTTTCCTCGGTCTTGTCTTTCAGGAAACTGACGTGAGTCTCAGTAAGATTAGTAACAGGACTGAAAGACTCAAATAACAGGCTTGTGTCTTTGTTCTAATATCATATAAAGTCAGTGACAAAATAGAGCAAAATGTGTAATATTTTTTGTGTATCGTTGATTTTATATAACTTTGATGACAAATATGTTTAATAAAACTTTAACTTCCTGTTTGCAATGATTTTCTTTACAGAAACTAAGCAGTTAGGTGCCGTCTGAAGTAAAATTATGGAAAATATTGTCATTAAAAAGAGGATAAAATGGAAAAGATATTTTTAATTGTTTACACAAGTAACTGCATGCACTATACTTAAAAATTCACTTTTATAAAATTTATATATTTATAATAAAGCAACATTCCAGCTTTTTTGTGTAAATGTTACAGATCTCCGAAATGTGGGAATCAGCATTAGTTCATACCAGGGCAAATTATATCTAAATTAGGAGTGTTCATATTGCAGCTTTGATGAATTTCTGACATGCCTATATTTTAATACTCAACTGGCAACTCAACTTTCAGCCACATGCATCTAGTCATCGAAAATAGCAGATAGGGTATCCTTTTTCTGAAACTAAACATCAAATAAACATTTTTGCTTCAGCTGCTCTCCAGTGGCAGACTCAGGCATAAATTTGGTGCATGCGACTTTCTCCTTTCCTTGTGACAATAAACGGCGTGTTTTATATCAAGTCATATTGTTGGGATGGCTGCTGTCAGATACTGAGTTTTAAGGCTAATATTGTGCATCCATAATCCTAAACTGAACTCTGTTGTTTTCTAATGGCCTTGTCAATCATTCATTAAATAACAAAAGTTGTTTATTGATAAAAACATACATCACACAGAGTATAAATTGAAAAACTTGAACATAATACAAATCTAACCAAAATAAGAAAAGCTGTTTTTATTTGAAACAATTTGCTCTGTTTCACTGCAGAAGCACCGAGCTGTAGCTAAATACACATAAGAACCGTGATGTATTTGAAAATAAGCCATTTAAACATCTCATATTAAACTAGTTTATTTCCTTTCCTTCTCCTAAATACTGTTCTCATAAAAGAGAAAAAAATAAACAAAATTCAAAGTAAGAGCACATCATTTATATTTTTTGTATATCACGATTTGAAATGAAAAATAACAAAGAAAGAAAATATTTTTCATGTAGTTGTCTTTGCAAGAATTTTCTCTATTTTGATTCTGAGGCTTTCATGTGTGGGTTGATTTAAAAAAAAAGTCGCAGACTTATGCAAGCAAAAGAAAAAAAAAACGTATTCGGTTCAAACTTTGTGTTTGTTTAAAAAAAAATCAAATTTTATCTTTAAATTAATCACATATCTTAAAAAAACAAAGAAACAAACGAAACAATGAGTGCCTGCGAGTCAAACTCGGGGTTTGCTTTACACGTTTTTCCGTAACATCCGTGAAACTGCCTACGTTGTTCTCGGAAACCCCACCCCTTTCTCTTTGGAGAAGACGGTCGGCCATTTTAAGTGTATCAGTCGTCATTTCACATCGCTACAGTAGGACGGAGAACGTCAGGATTCAATTTCAGCATATTTCTCTTACAACTGTAGTGGAGAATTGCCTACTATGAACTGAATCTCTTCCTAAAACAAAAACAAGTAGATCCTTGTGAAGTGACGCATAAGCCAGTAGTTCAGCGTCGAGTTGTAATTTTTTTGCTCCTCAATGTAGCTAGAGGAAATGGCTGTGGAAAGCATGACTGTCCATCCAAACTCCCCAACTACCAACCACGAACACAACAGTCTTCTGACTGACGAAAGGTCGAGTAATTCTACAGTCATATTTAAATGAATTCATTTATTTGTCCTGTGCTTTTACACAAAAGCCCAGGGGTTCTTTTTGGTGGTTTTTTTCTGTCAAAGGGATTAAACTCGTCTTTTCTGGAAAACGAGTACAGAGGTAAAGCGAGCGGCCATGTTGACACGACGTCGCTTTCTGGGAGGCCTAAAAACTGGACCAACGTTATTCCCTTTATTTTATTACAGTGTTATAATCAGCCGATTTAAGCGAACTTGTCAAATGGGAAAAAGACAAGGTCGCGAAACCTGATAAATTAGTTTTCATTTCGTCCCATGATACAGTCTTAATCGCCAAGTTCGGATAATAATCTCGCTTAAAAGATTAAAAATATAAAGTCGGATTTTTTTTTCTTATTATTGCGGAGTTAAACTCGACGTCGCAGACAAAAATAAATCCAAATCCGACCGTTGGGTTCGCTAATTGGCAAGTTGTTTTTAAGCTAACATTAGCTTAGCATATACTTGCTAAATGCTAAATTAGCCGCTAATCCTAATAGAATTAGCAAATCGTCCACATTTAATTCCGCCGCGTTATTTACTCGTTTCGTTAAAAAAAACTTCCTCACAATTTCGACCTTTTTCGATCAACGGGAGCCCTAAAATAACACATTAGATCGGATTAAATGACACTTTCCGGCGGTTTAGAATCAACTGCCGCTATAAAAAAAACTACGCACTTTTCCAGCTATTGTATCCCTGCTTAGGAATGTTAGGAAAGATATTTAGGCCATTTAAACCATCAAATTGTTCGTGCTATTAAACCTTAAATGTAGATATATTGTTAGACATAAATATTTTACACCCTTTCATTGGATATGAATAGATTCATTCTGGGCATTTGTGAAGATTCCGAAGTTAGCTTCTGAGTTAGACCTTGTACAAAGGGCTCTTTGGTTGTCTTAGGGGACTGATCTGATCTAATTAAAACTGTGAAATATTAACACGGGATAAATCTACTCTAATATAATCTTTCATGAAAAAACCTATACTCCAAAACTTGATTGAGGTGATCAAATGCTGGGGAAAAAAACAAAGACAAATGCCCACTTTTTTCGTCAAACTGTGGATTTAAGTTATTTATTTATCGGTGTAGAATGAAAAGTTTTCTAAATCATTAAAATTGTGACCTTAAAATGATCAAAAGTTGTTAAGTTCTACTAACAGCAGAGGGTTGGCTTTGTTAAATCAATACCCTAATCAGAGGCCAACTTCAGCAATGTGTTTTTGCCTAACTTGTCCCTTTTATCCACAGTCGTGCCCCAAATGTATCGTGCCAAATCATCCCCATAAGTTTCCCCTCAAAAAAATGTCTGCAAAGCATCCCAAGTGTTTGAAGTCAAACACTATCGTTCCCATTTCCAAAAGTGCAAACTTAACAAAGCTTTCCCACCCCCTTAACAGAGCAGAGTCCTTAGAAAATGAAGGGAGAACTTTTTCTCTGTTGTTTTTGTGAAGAAAAACCTGTCGCAGTAAGTATATCCCCATTTTAATTAAGACCGTTTGCTTGGATGATTACTTCAGGTATGCACTCTTACCTGCTTTTGGTACTTCACTGCACTTAATAGATTCTAACAGTAATCAGGATTTGAAACAAGAAAAGCAAAAAATGAGTGAGGCGGAGAACGCTTATTGCACTGTTTAGTGAAACCTGGTGGAAAAACTTCCTTAACTTATTTGCTTCTTTTAGATAGGGACAAATAAATAACTCATTAAGTAAATATCAGCTTTTTCCTCTCTGCAGCTCTTGTTTATAAAAGCCTGGGTTGGTTAAGATGAGCCATTTTTACTTTTTTGCAGCATCCATCAATGACTTGTTAGGTTTCCAAGCTGAGGTTTGAGATGACTGGATGGACATTGTTTACATTCGAGGTTTTCCTTTAACTGGATTGGCGCCAGGTGATGTGTGCATAACATCTCTGGTCAGTGATACCACTGCTGTGTGTCCATAGTTGGTCCCAGCTCCACTCCACACCCACTCATATAATACAGCTAAATCCCTGTGCTGTTAGAGAGCCCACTGCTGGAGCAATCTGTTTCAGAGATGTTATTCCTGATCTGAGGGGTAATAGTTAACTAGTAGTTATAATTAGGAAGCCCTGCCAAAACAACATGGATTTGTTTACCTTTTTTATTATTATTATTTGATCTAGTTGTACAGATTCTGATTATTAACACCCACAATTTATACAAACCTCATTGCAGTCATAAGGTGGCACTTTCTGTTCGAATGTATTTGGTTTATTTTTTTTCATCTACACCAGGGGAGTAAAAGTTGCTAACAAGCTGCGTTCTGTGATGCGTCTGCAGAGGAGTGCTCTGAATATGAAGGATGTGGTGCGTTTTGCAGAGATCTCACAAGCTGCGGGTGACGTTTTGCCCCAAAGTAGATCAAGCGTAGGAACCTATAGATTTCTCAGTTTGTTGTGATCAGACAGGGATGTTTAATCTGCCGGTGGTGTTGGTCTGTATCGCACGTTAATTAGAAAGGTATTAATTAACAAAGTGTTTATACTCAATCGCGTCTTTGTTATAGAGATTTGTCTTTGATGTGAATAAAAACAAAAGGAGATTTATGGTTAGTCTATAAACTTAATAATCCAGACCCTCCCTTCCCCCTAAAAAAAAAAATCAATAAAAAAACATTTAAATATGGACCAGGAAAACTTAAAGTCAGTTTGATTGTACAAATATGTGAAAACTTGCAAGAGAGAAAAAAAAGGGTAGCCTATTTGTAAATGTTTTTAAAGCAGCTGTTGCTGATCATGTTTATAGCTGCTGTTGGAGCCCAAATGCCAATATAATACAAAAACAGGTTGGTTTGGGTCTTGGCTGGGATTTAGGAGAGTTTCAAGGCCAATGCTGATGCTCTTTGTTCAGATTTCCAGATGGGCTTCAACTTTTTTCACCCCTTAGTTCGTATCCTCATTTAGTTGCTCTCCATTTGCTCTCTAAAAACACACTTTTTTCTCCTTTGTAATTAATACATAATGAGCTTCTTTCTCCTGATAATAAAATAAAAAAATGTCGATACAGGATAACAACTATTATTTCATTATTATTTAATTATTTAAGCCAGCTGCTCTTTTTGGATGATATGACCTATAATGTGATTAACCAAACATTTTCCTCATCCTCTTGGTATTGTTTTGGAGTTAAAAGCCTGCATTTCCTCGCAGAAATTAACAGAACCGAAACAAATCCTGCTGTAGCAGACGGCTCATTTTTTTAACAAAACAAACTTGGTATAAACCTGACCAAAATTGTGAAATAACTATGTAGTTAGCTTAAGCAGATTCCAAAAGACTAGATTAGAGTTAATGCTGTTTCCATTTTCTTTTTTTCCTGAATCACATCTGATTAAAGTCAATGTTGTCCAGCTATTAGTCAAAATCTTCAAATATTATCCAGCTGTATTTATAAAGCACTTTACATAACCAAAATGACCAGAGTCTTTCAATAATACCTTATTCACAGCAGTGCCGTTTCTTATAGGTGCCTAAACTGAACATCTCGGGTTCATACTTGATGATACACATTTCTGTGTTCAGTTGTTTCTTGTTTTCGGGCTCATGATTTGTTTTTTAGACCTTAAACTGAGACAAACCAGAGGACTAAATGTCTGATTGCTTCTCATGCGCAGGCCTGAAGATGGAGAACTGGAGGAGGGCGAGTTGGAAGATGATGCAGAGGAGATGGTGGAGGAGGAAACAGGCCAGGTGTCTGCTGCAGCTGGACAAGGTGTAGATAAGGGCGAGGATGCAGGAGGAGGTGGAGGAGGTGATGAAGGAGGAGAAGCGGCGGCAGCAGAGAGGACTCGACGAAGCCGGGACCGCCACCCGAGCAGCGCTTCGGACGATGAAAGAGCACACCGGCACAAGAGGAAGCGGAAGAAAGAGAAGGAGCGGGAAAGAGAGAAGAGGAGGGCGAAAAAGAAGCGCAAATCAAAGCATAAAGTGAGATTCAGACCCTGAGCTAAATGTTCCGTTTTGTTGGAAACGTCCTTGATGTTTCTCTAATCACTGTTTATTTTTCCTCCCAGCGTCACGCATCTTCTGACGACGACCACTCTGACTTCAGTGAGGACTCCGACTACAGTCCAAGCGAGAAGAGAAAATACAGAGAAAGAGATTACAGTCCACAATACACATCCTCTGTTAGTATTTATACACTTTAATGATGTCTGTAGCGTCACTAAGGGGAGAAAATGTCATTACTTTACTAATTTCTTTGGATCCTTTGTGTTCACAGTCTCATGGTGGCTACGGTGGGCCAAAGAAAGGCAGCTACATGAAGATGGACAAACAGGGTTATGGGGGCTATGACGACTATGAAGATGACATGTATGAGGGAGAGGAGGAGGAAGACATGGGAGAGGAAGAGTATGACGACTTCGCAAAGGAGCTCAACCAGTACAGAAAGGCCAAGGAGGGCGGCCGAGGTGGGAGAGGTGAGAACTGAAGAGCTCTGGCTCTTTCTTTAGATCAAGATGCAGATGACTGTCCATACAACTATTTTCTTTTTTATGAAGAAATGATCAGAGAAGTTCAGTTTTAGTTTTAAAAGTAGACATCCTGGTTTTTACTAGTTGCTGTCTGGCTTCTCTTTTTCACCTGCAGGGGGCAGAGGTCGCATGAAGAGCCTAAGAGGCCGTGGAGGAATGAGGGGAGGGAGAAGAGGGAGAGGAGGAAGCAGGGGGCGAGGGGGGCGAGGAGGAAGGATGGGGGGAGACGACGATGGGGACGGCTACGGAGACGATATGGAGGTGAGGTTTGAAACTATCATGTTTGCTTCATGCAGAAGTAAAAGTCTTCCTCCCTAAACTTTGTCACTTTATCAAATCTGAACCAAACTTTTGTAAAAAAGGGTGTTTTATAAGCATCTCATGTGATTAGATTAACGCAAGGTAGAATAAAATGTGAAATTCCAGTCCAGTTTTGCTCTATGCATCCTTCCCACACACATCCCCATAGCATGATGCTTCCCCCACCATGTTTTCAGGTTGGTGTGGAGGATTTTCCATCTTTACTGGACAAAGCTCCTTCTGCACGCTATTTGTGCCTCCTCCCAGCTTCTAGCAAACTGGACAGCTCAGTCCAACAGTAGTTTTCTTTTGCCAGATCTGTTGCTCAGAAGACTAATGCTTGTTTTTAACCTGATTTAGTCTGATCTGTGGATTTCGCACCTTCTAGAGCAGGGGTCACCAATTAGAAATCTGTTACTTTCAACAGAATTTAACACTGAAATAAAAATAGTTTTTTTAAGGACTTTTTGAGGACTTTTTAAATAAAAAAAAAAGAAAATTTTCCATTTTAAAATCTAAAGTGTTTTTTGAAGTAGAGAACAACAATCGTTCAGTTTGGTATATAGACAATTTCCTGATTCACATATTTTATGAAACACCTGAACTGACCGTTTGTTATTTCTTTTCTTTTATTTCTGGCTTAATGAGAGCAGTAGGCTTTAAGCTTACCTGCGAGGCTTTAAACCTAGGTTTGAATCGAGACAAAGCCATTCTAAAGCACATATCGAGCTCATTATGAGCCTGGATCCATATTTATTTTTGATCCTGTTCATGGTGGAGATTCCTGCTTCACAGCAGCAGGTTGAGCCAAACATACTCTAAATGTGCAGGGTCATCTTTGAGCACGTCATTTCACTTTTCTTTCACCAGTTTACCGCGGTTCTTCCAGCAGTCCACACTTTCTCTGCTCTCTTTTTCTCATCATCTTCTCCTTCTTTCCCATCACCCGGCTTGCCACAGGTTTGCCTGCTGTGTCTTAAAGTAGCAGCAGCAGCTCAGACTGACAGCAGCTCATTGGCTGATTTGTATCATGTGTAGCCTGGTCTCAGGTGCTTTGGAGGGCTTTACCGTACAAACTGGAGAAGTGGCGCAACTGAATTTAACGCTGTCATACGACAACAGGCAGTAATTTCTAAATGTTTTAAATCAGGTTGGGTCTGGATTAGCCAGCAGGTAGGACCGGATCCAGACCGCGGTCCGCTAATCCGTGACCTCTGTTCTAGAGGAATGGGTGTGTGTGGGTTGGCTTGCTAGTTTGGTTGGACTTCCCCGCCCGTATTTTTGTGGTTTAGCAGCTGCTTCTTTATCTCCCCATGTTTAGATAGACGGTTGAACAGAGCTCTGCCTCTGGAACGTTCTGCCTGACCTATCAGCTGTGCTCCTTTTTATTCACAATGCTTTATGTGGACGTTCTCCAACAAACCTCTGAGGCCAGAAACGGAACAGCTGGGTTTATACTCTGATTTAATTACTCACACTGGGTTTCTGCTCATTATTTGAAGGGTTGAACTTATCTCACAGTAGGTGTAGCAGAGTAAAGGGGATCGGATGGAATTAACGGTTCACATTCAGGATTATTTTATCAAACTTCACTTAATAATTTGTGTTGGTCTTTCACATGAAATTCCCATTAAAAAACCTGAAGTTGTAAAACTTGAAGTTTCATGAGTAAGGATACTTTAAAATATGGACTGGATCTGCTGAATTTCTCATGAGCCTCTTTCTTTAACTTTGCAGTATGGAGAGGAAGACTATGACAACATGGGAGAGGATGACTATGATGACTACTCTAAAGAACTCAGTCAGTACAAAAGGTCTAAAGACAGAGGCAGAGGTTTGTGGCTTCATTTTGCTGCCTTATATAACAGACTAACAGGTGATAAAGTGTGTTTTGATCCAAGGTTCCTTCCTTTTGTGTTTCTCTCATCCAGGTGTTAAAGGAGGCCGTGGACGAGGCAGAGGTAAAGGAGGGCGAGGCATGATCCGAGGACTGAAAGGCCGAAGCAGAGGGAGAGGAAGAGGCGACATGGGGAACGACGACGACAACAATGGGGACATGGATAACGGGGTACCTTTCCTTACCGGATCTCTAACATGCGCACGCTTTAAAGTCAGTTTCCACTTATAAGTTTCTTATTATTTTATGCAAACCAGGATGGAGGTGATGGTCCAGGAGCAGGGAGGCGACATCATCATGAAAAGCACCAGGATAAGAAAGGAAAAGCCCTCTGCAAGTATTACATCGAGGGGAGATGCACCTGGGTAAGACCCCACGCCGTCCATTCACTGTGTTTACTCTCACCGGAGCTGTGAGGTTTCTGAAGCGCTTCTCTTTAAAAAAAAAAAATAAATAAATAACTACGTTGACCGTTTCTAACCACCAGGGGGACCACTGCAACTTCAGCCATGACATCGAGCTGCCCAAGAAGAAGGAGCTGTGTAAATTCTACATCACTGGTTTCTGCGCCCGCGGCGACCACTGTCCCTACATGCATGATATCCTTCACTGAGATCTTTGAAATGCTTTTGCTTCTGTTGAGTCGTTTGTGCTTTTTACTGGACGCCTTTGTTTCTCCTTGACTCCCTCTTCACGGGAATTCCCATGCAAGCTGTTCCACACCACAGGAAACTGTGTTAATGGAGACGAGTGCATGTTCTCCCATGAAGCCCTCAATGACGACACTCAGGAGCTGCTCAACAAGGTGGGAGCCTCCGATGCGGTTACATATTCTGTTATTTCTTTATTGAATTAACTTTTAGTTTGGAAAACATGGGAGTGACTGAGCTGTGGATGTTTTTGGATCCGTGTTTCAGATGCTAGCAGAGGATGCTGAGGCCGGAGCCGAGGATGAAAAGGAGGTGGAGGAGCTGAAGAAGCAGGGGATCAACCCCCTTCCTAAACCGCCTCCTGGAGTCGGCCTCCTCCCCACTCCCCCTCGCCCTGTATCCATGGACACCAACATGGGCGCTGTGGACTTTGGTGGGCCTGTAGGTGGAGACTTTGGGGGTCCTCATGGACCCAGTCAGGTTCCTCACAAAGGTCCACCGATTCCACCTCCCGTCCCTGGACCGAACCCCCCCATCGGTCCAGTCCACGGCCCGGATGAAAGCCCCTTCCAAGGTGGACCACCCACAAATCCCAACTGCCCTCCTCCACACATGGTTCCCCCGCCTGGTGGTGGAGCAGCGGCCTCAGCCGGGAAGAAGATTCCTTCGTTGTTTGAGATTAAAGTTCAGCCAACAGGACAACTGGCTCAGAAACTGGCCGTCAGGTAGGAGATCAGAAAAGCCACAGGAAGAATTTCCAGCAGGTTTATTAATGAAGAGCAAACACTTTAATAATTTGATGCAGAGCATGTGAACGGAGCGCCGCGCAATTCCCGCTCCCCCATCAGGAGGATGTTCGCTCACTCGCTCCGCCGCTCGAAGTTGCACCAAGACGCTCCGCTCAAAATCTGCTCCGCGCTCACCTTAATTTCCTGCTGCTCTGGAGAAATCGCTTCATGCACGCTTAGATTTTCAGGAGAAGTTATTTTCAGACATTTTTCCTTCATGTAATTATGCCAGGGCACTATGACACACGGCGTTTGATTTACTGATGTGACCGTTATATGTGTATAGTCTTCTTTAACTGGCTGTTAAATTATCGCACTGTTTCCCAGCTGTGAAAGTAACACCTCGCTGCATTCATGTTGACCCGCGTTTCCTATTTAATTATTCATTTATTTTAAAAAACTACATTAAAAAAGTTGTATGCGATCCATTTAAAAAAAATGTACCATAACAATCACTTTAGTAAAAATTTTAAGGATTAAAAACTGCAACTGTTTTTCAATTTAAAAACATGTAAAAAAAAATCTGCCTTAAATCAAATAAATGTTATTTTACAAATTTTATAATCCAACATTTTTAATTGACGTTGTGAGCCCATCGGAGTGAACTGGAGAAGAGCGAATCCTCGCTCCAGCGTTTGAATTGAAAACCGCTCTTCGCTCCACCATATTTCTTCCGCTCCGCTCACATGCTCTGATCTAAATGGGATAAAACATATTAAATGAAACAAAAAATTGTGAAGTTTTTCCAAGAATATCTTGTTTTCCACAAATTTAAAAAGAAAAAGTCTTTAGTAATTTGGTAGACATGGTCTTTGATAGTTCATCCTTTGCCTTTAAAGCCTCAAAAATCAATCTAAAAAATTTTTTGTCAACATGATTCTGATGCGGGTCATTTAACAGCCCAATCCTGCTCACTGCTTTTTCAGTTAGCTGAAGTGCTAAGCTAATATCAGCATGATTGCTCCTCAGTTGTTGATAATTTAGCTTTTTACACAAATAGAGATGATAAAAATGTTTCAAAAATGATGTTGGGTTGGCTTAATTTGAAGCTTAGTATGGGTTTTATTAGAACTACTACTATCCACAGTTGCGGTCAGATTATGACATCACTAGTTCTTATTTGGCTTTTTTATTGACAAACATTGTGGCTTTTGATTATTTATATCAGAAAAGCTGCTTTCTATTTGCTAAATCACACCCTCCCTCTTTGTATCAGAAGCCAGGCTCCCAGTAGCAGTCAGGCTCAGACCGCACCTCCTGGACCCCAGGGCCCACCTGGGGCTCCCCCACCCCGCTTCCCTGGTCCTGCAGGCATGATGTCCCCTGAATCACAGAACATGGGGCCCGCCGGAGCCCCCATGATGGGGGGATTTAACGACAGCCCCGCCCACGGAGGGACAGGACCTCCACAGGGTGGAGGAAACTTCTACAACGAGTTCTACAATCAGCAGGACGGGATGAAGATGGAGGGAGCGCAAGAAGGTCAGGATGGATCCCGGATTTAACTCGGATGTTATAATTTAACATTATCCGCTAACGGAAACCTTTTTTTTATCCCCCTCAGATGACAGGTTTCAGAGTTTTTCCGGCATGGACGACCGAGGAGGAACTGGAAACAGAGAAGGTCCTGCTAACGGGTCCACAGCCAGTCAGGGGGGCATCTCTGTTCCAGACTTTCTGCCGCCTGCTCAGCGCGTCCTGTTCATGAGGATACAGCAGAAACAGCAGGAGGAAGAGGAGAGAGCACGCAGGATGGCCGAGGGAGGGGCAGAAAATCCTAAAACCGTTGAAGGTATGTTAAGAAAATTCCCTCTCACTGCTCAGATCTGACTTAGAATTTATTCCTAATCATTCACATATAACCTGATCTGTTTCTTTTCCTCCTCCAGGTGACTCAGGGAACTGGTACTCCAGTGAGGATGAGGATGGTGGCAGCAGCGTGACCTCCATCCTGAAGACACTCCGGCAGCAGACCCAGGCTCCGCTGAAAACGGACGGCGTTCCCGGCGACTCTCGTCTGCCGAAGCCTTCTTCTTCCCACCCTCCAGCTCGCCCGGCAGACCCCCGCCTAGCGCGAGACCCCCGCCTGGCCCGGGCTGCAGAGTCGGCCCACACAACAGACAGCGCTCAGCCCTCGGCTCCTTCGTCCCTGGGGCCGCCCACGGACCCTAGGCTAGCAAGGCTCGCTGCCTCGGCCTCACATTCACCCCCTGCTTCAAAACCAGAACCTGCCATGGTCTACAAGCCCCCCCCGCTCACCGCTCCAGCCGCAGAGGAGGAGGAGACGGAGCGGGTTCTACGGGACAAGCCTGTGCCGATTCCTTTGGACCCGCTGATGGGTATGGCTCTGAGAGACCCTCGCTCTCAGCTGCAGCAGTTCAGTCACATCAAGAAGGACATCATTCTGCACATGCCCGCCTTCTCTAAAACCGTCACCTGGTCACCAGAGGACCTCCTCCCTCTCCCCATTCCCAAGCAGGACCCCCTGCCTCTCCCTCCAGGCATCCCTCCCGTACCCTCTTTGGGTCCACGCCTGTCCAGAGCCCAGCAGCCACAGCAGCTTCACTCGTCGCCGCCCCCCAACGCTCAGCCCGTTCCCTCCCTGGACCCTCCTGCATCCTCCTCCCTTCCAGACTTTGAGCTGTTGTCTCGAATCCTGAAGACTGTGAACTCCATCCCGTCCCAGACCACCTCCCCTCCTCACGCACCCACTCCCCCTCCTGTCTTATCGCTGCTCGGTCAACCGCCCCCCACGACTACCTCACCTGCAGAAAAACCCGTGGACCCTCGCTTACGTAAACCCCCGTCCGACCCCCGCCTGCAGCCACAGAAGTCAGCCCTGAAGCAACCATCAGAACCGGTCCCCTCCGTCCCAGTTCCTGCTACGTCTCCAGCAGCTTCCTCAGGTTCCCCCCCTCCAACAATCGCCCCCTACGACCCCAGGCTGCTCTCATCAGGGGGGGCAGGCCGCAGTGGGAGCACAGGGGCACCAGGGGGAGCCAGCGTGCTGAGCAGCATCAGCCTGTATGACCCAAGGACTAACAAACCAGGTAGCCCTGGTACCAGCAGTGGCTCCAGCAACTCCCCCAACTCAGCCAGCACAGAATCCAAACCCAGTGACGCCACAGCGAGTAAACCCAAGTCCAAGGAGCCGCTGTTTGTTAGGAAATCTGCTCTGGACCAACCGGAGCCAGAGAAAATTGTAGAGCAAGGAACTGATCGATACAACAGCTATAACAGACCCCGACCCAAACCGGCCCCCTCGCCTAACTCCACGGCCCAGACGGCACCTGCTGCTGCCACTGGAGCTCAGAATGCCCCTGGAGGGCCTGGAGAACAGGGGCCCGCAGGGGTCCACAACCTACCCGTGTCCTCCCTGTTCGGGGTGGTGAAACAGGCGGCCAAACCAGGCGGGACGAGCAGCCCGTTTGGAGGAAGCAGCCCGGCGCAGTCCGAACAGACAACCGCCGAGCAGGACAACGGCTCGCTGAAGGAAGTGTTCAAAGGCTTCGATCCAACAGCCTCGCCCTTCTGTCAGTGATACCATAGAAACAGAGGGCCAATCAGGTGGCTCGCAAGTTTGAACCTTTATTTGGACGCCGAAGAGGTCGTTGACAAACCGCCTGAAAGACACAAACGTCTGTGAACGGGACGCCGCACTGAGGCTAAGGCTGTGGACTCTGTGTTGATGGGAAAAATCAGATTTCTATTTTAAACTTATTGATGTATAAAAAGATGTGTTCTCTTGTCTCATATCAGCAGAAAACGTTTCTATAGAGCAAATATTTTAGCTTTAAAGCTTCTTTTTGTTCAGGATTTTTTTTTCTTTTTTCTGCTGCACTGTCAGTCTTCATGTCTGCAGCTCTGTGGGAACAAATCAGATTCTCAGCACCAAAATGTCGCATTTAGTGAATTATTTTCACTTTTTTTATGTTTTCTGGAGAAAGAGACAAAACTATCTAAATATAAATCTATAACCTGCTTGATTTATTTTCTAGTATTTATTTTTATACTTCTTGGCACTGTCAGCTTGTGTTGCCCGAAGGTTAATTGTTATATTCTAATTCCGCGTTTCCAGGTCCGATCTAAGCTCTTAACTTTCAGTTCTTTCTGTGCCACCGCTGTTATCTCTTCTTTTTTTCACACATTTGTTAAAACCTTTGCCTCCATCTGCCTTGTAGATAATCTCACTGGTTGTAAAAACAGAAAATTCCTGATTAAAATCGGCTTTTTTTTCCAGGATTAGGAAAATGTACCTGGACACTTTGCTAAAGCATCACTTCCACTTCCTCATACAAGGCTGGTCTTTTTCCTTTGTTTGCTCAAAATTCACCAATTTTCACAGTTAGTGATCTTCTAAGCATTGCTAACAATGGTTTGTGTAGAAATATTAATGGTTTTAATTTATTTCTTTGTTTTATACACTCATAATTAAACACACCTGTTCCTGAACTGAATCCCCATGTAAATTAGGATTGAAAAACTCGAGCTCTCTAACAGGGTGGGAAGAGCTGCTGAGGTAGAGGAAGCTCACCAGGAAGGGCAATTTATTGTTTGTCTTGTTTTTCTTTTGTAAATTTTTACATTTTTACTTTCCTCACCTTGTAAATTTGAGCCAAATCTTTAACATCATCCGGAGAGTTTTTCTAACTGTACTCTTTAAGTGAGGTTGTAAGTATTTAAATAAAGTCCGTACATGATCAGAAGGTTAAAACTCTATTTTCTGTATTTTTATTACCTCGGCTGATTCATCTGACGTGTTTCTGTATGAATGCCTAAAATCACAATAAAACTGTTTTCTCTGACGTCATTGTAAAGTGAAACTTTTATTTTTTTCTCTCTTCACCCAGCAGTTGAGATTGAATTGTAAAGTATTGAATAGATCTTTTTATCAAAGCGTGAAGTGACTGAGCTGTTTGGGTGCTAAGCGCTGGATCAGCCCCTCAGCGGCACGCAGCCCGTTTCCAGGTTCACTGTGATCCCTCTGACGACCAGCTTCCTGCTCCACTCCCATCCTGCAACGCTGGCTCCAGGAAGGGACACCATTCATCCCGTACCTCAAAGGCTTCCTATCACGCACACAAACACGCCCGGCCAGCAGTTGGCTGGAGCCAGCCAGCTCATTCTGACCTTCAGCACATCTGGTGTTTATCACTTACATATATTAGAAAAATCTGCCTCCAAATTGAATTACAGATCTTTAAAGGATTTAATTAAGATGAATATAAGACAACAAATGGTTATTTTTATCCTACTGTTTCTGGTTTCCTAGAACCACTTTCTTTTAATTATTAATCTACTTTTAGGTGTGCATGAGGGAGGTTACCTGTCTGTGTGTGTATATATAGAAGAGCTGATCCTCTTAAAGGATGACTTCAGCTGGGATTGGAGATGTGCCCTGCAGCTTTCTGCAGGGCACTCTGCGTTCCTGAGGGGAGGGCGTGGCGTGTGAACAGCAATGTTGATGCCTCTGCTGAACCTTCAGACTCCGGTCTGAGGATGTGTTGTGTCTCTCCCTGCTTGTTTGTTTCTTTGGGGCTTATCGTTGGGATTTCAGCTTAATAAATGCAACAAAATGTTCCCACACAGCCTATCTTGACCAGGGGCGGATTTATGAAAATTTGGGGCCCTAGGCAAAGACAGGCATGGGGCCGTCTGAAATGAGAAGACAACACATAAAACAGACCCATTGTACAGATTAAGAAATTTGAATAGAATAGACATACATTATTTGTTCTAGGTTTTGTCCCTTTTCTTGTTGTTTTCCTCTTTATGTTTTGTACTCAGCTGACTTTTCATGCTGTCTCAAAGGGAATGAAGTATGTTTTTCCGAGCACTAAGCTCACTTAGCTGATTGCTCCTTCCTGTGTTTCCAAAAAGGTGACGGCAAAAGTAAATAATCCAGTCCTTCTTTTCACTTTAGACAAGCCATGATCTGCTTATCTGTTCTCCATTTTTCATTTGGATGAAATAATAGCTTCATGAATCATGGCAGCAGACAAGATAGAGGAGAGCAGGAGGCGGGGTTACCAATCTACTTGCTCTGGAGAGCAGAGTTCGCTGCTTTTATATGTCGTCGCCAAAGTCTCCAGTAACAGAAAAAAGTCGCTAGATCTGTCACTAGGCACTTTTTTGAAATTATATGGTGACATAAATGCTCATTTTGCAACACTGCTCTTCACATCATTTGTTTCCAAGTGGTTTGCTGCTGTCTGCTTGGACCTTTCTGAACAAATGGACTGAACCAATGATGGGTACACTGAAGGGGCGCTGAGACACAATATTATAAAAGTTCTGATGGCATTTTAACAAAAGAATTTTAATCAAAAACATAATGTGCACAAATAATGAATAATTGTATTAACCATACATGTAAACAGAGTTTTATGGGGGGCCCCAGGAACTTGGGGCCCTATGCAACTGCCTAGCAGGGGCGGATTTAGAAAATTTGGAGCCCTAGGCAAAGAATGGCAGGGGGCCCTCTGAACTGGGAAGATAACACATAAAACAGACCCATTATACAGATATAGGAATTTTAATAGACATACATTATTTTTTCTACGTTTTGTTCCTCTTTTCTTGTTGTTTTCCTCTTTATGTTTTGTACTCTGCTGACTTTTCATGCTGTTTTAAGCACTAAGCACACTTAGTGGGTTGCTCCTTCCTGTTTCCAAAAAGGAAATGGCAAAAGTCAATATGAGTCCTTATCACTGTAGACAAGCCATGATCTGCTTATCTGTTCTCCATTTTACATTTTTCTGAAATAATAGCTGCATGAATCATGACAGCAGACAAGATAGAGGAGAGCAGGAGGCGGGGTTACCAATCTACTGGCTCTGGAGAGTAGAGTTCGCTGCTTGTCGCCAAAGTCTCCAGTAGCAGGAAAAAGTTGCTAGATTTGGCGCTAGCAATGTATTAATTGGACTGAATAAAAAAAAAAGGCTCTAGAGGGGTCTGAAAAGTCGCTGAATATAGCAAGAAAAGTACTAAGTTTTTCAACACTGCTCTTCGCATCGTTTGTCTTCAAATAGTTTGCTGCTGTCTGTTTGGACCTTTCTGAACATGTGCAGCAAATGGACTGATCCAATATGGTGGACAC